CCACCGGGCCGGCCCCTCACGATGAATACTTTCTAATACAGCAAAGAATTCAAAATCTTAGAATGAATAATAAGAGTTGGTGGCTATTAACTAAAAGAGACTTTAGCCAAGCATTTTGTCAAGGGAGCAAATCTGATATGCTTATCCTTAATCATCATCCTTAAAAAAAGTTCTTTTGTTTTGCCATTAATTGATTTGGTCTTTGGATCTTTGGGATTTTCAGCAACCACGTTTCATTTCCCATGCTTTCAAATACTCTTCAGAGTGAGGGTTACATGAAGACACTAGTAGATTTACTATGTGTAAACCAAATAACATCCTGCAAATAAAAAAACATGTATACAGTGACCACTAAATGAGTTGCAGAATTAATGATGCTCCAGTCTCTTAAGACCATGTGTTACCTAGTTTGAAAGTAACTGGTCAGAACATTTTAAATATTCACAACACAAATTTATTATTTTTCTGACCTACTAGTTTTGTAGGTCAGAAGTCTGAAATGGATCTCATAAGGCTAAAAACAAGATATCAGCAGGGCTGTGTTCCTTCTGGAGGCTTCTACAGAGACTCCATTTCCTTGCCTTTCCCAGATTCTAGAGGCTGCCTGTATTCCTTGGCTGTGGCCCCTTCCCCTTGCACTTTTAAAGACTGCTGTGATTACATTGGGCCCACCTGGATAATCCCAGATAACCTCCCAATTTATGGTCAGCTGATCAGCAAACTTAATTCTATCTGCAACCTTAAATTTCCCTTTGCCGTAACAACATATCCACAAATTCTAGGGATAAGGATGCAACACCTTTTGGACGAGAGTGTTGAGCCACATTATTCTGCCTAACACTTATATTATCTGAAAGACTTCTTAATAGAAACTGTAAAGTAAAAATATTAGTTTCTACACCCAAAAGTTAGTTCTATTGTCTAAACTGAAAGAAAATTAATAAATACTTGGGATTACTAGAAAACCCTTAAAACAAATGAATATTTATGACTTGTACCTAAACAAATACTATAGTTAATAGATGCTAACTTATTTAAGAAAAGGTACAATAATCAGACTTGTATATCTTGACTG